GATACACACACACACACACACACACACACACACACACACAGAGAGAGAGAGAGAGAGAGAGAGAGAGAGAGAGAGAGAGAGAGAGAGAGAGAGAGAAGAGGGGTAATTCTGAATTTCCTGGCCCCAAAAGAGGTAATTCTGAATTACCTGGGGCCCGTTGGATTCGAGCGTCCGTCTGTATATTGTCAGCAGTTCATGGGTGTACCAACTGCGCTACCGTAGGCCCGTTGGTCCCTTTTTTTTTGGTCATTTAATTTTGACGTGTACCTGGTCGCCATTCTGGCGTTTTCTGAACCCAAAAAAAAAATCAACAGGGCTTAAACCGGGTTTTCCCGCCAATAGGACCTGACGATTTCGGGGGGGTCACAAAACGCCAAAATTGCGGGCCAGGAACGTCATAGTGAAATGTCCAGGGGCTAGGTGCCAGTAGCAAAGACGAGTAGATTTACCTCCCGAATCTGGACGTGTTTTACGCAGAGATGCAGAAAAGCTATTCAATCTCGAATTTCTGCACTTTTCCAGCGAAATATTTTATTATTTTATTATTATATTTTATGCAAATTGAATTTGGTATGTTTGTTTGATTATTGCTGGAATATAACTTCATCAGTAATTGATTAAAAAACAAATTTAAATCAATGAATTGATGATCGATGTAATTAATTGGTCTAATTACATTGACGATTGATCGGCTAACGATTGGCTGACGATTGGCTGTTTGTGATCTGTCTGTCTTATTCAAAAGAGTTGACGTCAACCATTGATCCAGTCGAGGCGAGATCTGGCGTGGTGAGGTGACACGTGGCAGGCAGGGCGTAGAGGTCTTGATTGATTGATTGATTGCCTTTTTTTTTCTGATTTCCATTTCTCATGGCGCCCGGTGGGGGGTATTTGGTCACAGCCGCTTCGGCAGACGTTTGCGGCCAGCTGTCGCAGTTGATGGCACAGCAGCATTCACGTGCGACTGCCACGTCTCCACGTCGGGACTCTGCCACGTGTCCACGTCAGACCTCTGCCACGTGCCGACGTCAGATCTCTGCCACGTGGCGACGTCGAGCAGAAGATTCCAGCAGGAGAACGGATCAGAACAGCGAGACCTGCGGCTACGTGTCATGGATAAATCAAGGGACATCAGCACGAGAAGGGAGGAGAAGGGAGGAGGGGAGGAAGAATCCAGCGGCGGCGCTGACGTGTCACGTCAGTCTAGGCCGTCTGTCGTCGGGATGCAGCCTCATTGTGTCTCCAGGAGGAGAGAGGAGGTTTGACAGGCAAGCAGTGGGGAAGAGGAGTGTAACTGCTACCAGACGGCCCTTGTGGTTGGGTCCGCAATGCCTTGGCACAGGTTCTTCCTCTTCCTCCTCCTCTCCTCCTCCTCCTCCTCCTCCTCCTCCTCTCCCTTCCTCTTTTTCTACTCCTGAAGTCTCGTCGTTATCTAGCACTACCGTTTTAGATCAGACACTCGACACTCCTTCTTCACTCGACACTTCTTCTTCTTCTTCTTCACTCGACACTTCGTCTTCTTCTTCGTTGACTATGAAGACGTTGACGGATAAAGTAATGGATAAGGCAAGCGCAGTGCTGACACAGATCTTAGGTGGGGGTGTGGCTGTGAAAGGGATGCCTGTGGCAGAAGGGGATGCTTCGACCTTATTCGAGCAAGCCTTGGTGTTCTGGCTACACGGTCGGTGCATGGAACTTGGTCCTGTTTTCAAATTGGCCTTTGGTCCGAAGGCCTTCGTGGTTGTGTCTGATCCCATTGTGGCTCGACACGTGTTGAAAGAGAACGCCCTCTCCTACGACAAAGGTCTGTTGTCTGAGCTTCTGGAGCCAATCATGGGCAAAGGATTGATACCGGCCGATCAGGAGACGTGGAAGAAGAGGAGGAGAGCCATTGTGCCTGCCTTTCATGCTGCTTACTTGGAGGCAATGATGAAGGTCTTCACTGATTGCTCTCAAAGAACAGTGGACAAGTTTGAATCCCTGTTACAATTGGCAGAGGACGGCCAGCGGGGTCGTAGTACTACCGCCGCTGGCAAGCAGAACGATGCTGACGATCGCGTGGAGAAGGAGGTGGTAGAGGTAGAGGTTGAGATGGAACGAGAGTACTCTAGCCTTGCCCTGGATATCATCGGACTAGGCATATTTAACTACGATTTCGGGTCGGTTAAGGAGGAGTCGCCGGTGATACAGGCGGTCTACGGTACACTGTATGAGGTCGAGCATCGCGCTACCTTCTACTTGCCCTACTGGAAGCTGCCGTTTGCGGACAAGCTAGTGCCACGTCAGCGCAAGTTTCAGGCCGATCTGAAGGTCATCAACGACTGCTTGGACGACCTCATCGAGCGCGCAAGGGCCAACAGACAAGAAGAGGATTTGGAAGCACTGCAGCAGAGGGACTACTCCAAGGTGGAAGACGCGAGTTTGCTGCGCTTCCTAGTGGACATGAGAGGGGAAGACTGCGAGGACAAGCAGTTAAGAGACGATCTTGTGACGATTCTGATCGCAGGGCACGAAACGACGGCAGCAGTGCTGACCTGGGGAACGTACTTGCTCGCCCAGCACCCTCACGTTGTGCTTAAAGCCCAGCAAGAGATCGACAGAGTGATGGGAGAGGGAGAGAGGGCGAGGAGGCGGCCCTCTCTTCAAGACCTCAAGGACATGCAGTACGTCAGGCTTGTCGTCGCAGAGACGCTAAGGCTCTACCCACAACCCCCACAACTAATCAGGCGTAGTATAGCCGAGGACCTCCTTCCCGGGGGTCATTTAGGCAATCCCGAGGGGTATAAAATCCCCAAGGGTACAGATTTTTTCGTGATGTCCTACAGCATCCACCGCAATCCGCATTTTTGGGACGACCCTGAAAATTTCAACCCGGATCGATTTCTTACCCAAAAAAGCGGTCAAGGGATCCCGGGCTGGGATGGCCTGGATCCTCAGCGAACCCCGACCGCTCTCTATCCTAATGAGGTAACCTCCGACTTCGCGTTTTTGCCCTTTGGAGGAGGGATGCGCAAATGCGTGGGCGATCAATTTGCGTTGATGGAATCGACGGTCGCCCTGGCAATGCTGCTCCAGCGGTTCGACTTGCGGCTGCGAGACCCCCCAGAGACGGTCATTCCAGTCACAGGGGCCACCATTCATACCAAGAATGGACTGTATTGCCGACTAAGAAGACGACAACGAGATTAGATTGTATTTCATTTTTATTTTCATTTTCATTTTCATTTTTATTTTTATTATTATTATTATTAAAAAAAAAAACACAGAACAAGACCGTGTTGGTAGAAGAAGGCAACATGAATTACCTCGTTTGCGAGGTCCTATGCTTGCAGGGGTCCCCTCTATATAGTCTTAGGAGTAGTGGTAAGAAGGTAGTGAAAGGCGAAAAAAGAATTTGAGAGAAGAAAAAAAAAAAAAAAAAAAAAAAAAAGATTAGATTAGATTAGATTAGATTAGATTCCGGAAGCTTGCAAAACCAAACAAACAAAAAAAAGATTCTGGAGGTGAGGTGAGGTGAGGTGTGGTGTGGGTAGGTCATCTTTTTTTCCTTCTTCTTCTTCTTCTTCTTCTTCTTCTTCTTCTTCTTCTTTTTTCTTTTTTTTTTTTTTGGGGGGGGGAGAGGTAGGTAGTCTAGCCCCCGCGTCCGGCGATTGAAAAAGCGCGGGACACTTCGGCGGTTTTTCAACGGACAACAGGATTCCCGCGCGCGCGCTGCTTGCGAAGCGCGGGATACATCGCTCGTGTAATAATCATTTTATTACCTGGGACTGCTCCCACTATTGCTCTTTTTTTTTCTTTTTTTTTTTCCTTTCCTTTTCTTTCTTACCGTTTCCCGACTTCTGCGTGTGTGTCATGCTTTATTAATAATTTTCTCGCTATCCTTCGACTTTTTTTCTCTCCTTCCCCCCCCCCCCCCCCCCCCCTCCCCCTCTCCCTTTCGATCCTTGCGCAGGGGCCATGCCAATCTTTGCTCTCTCTGTATGGTTCCAATTTTAAAGGATGCAATGCACCTTCTCTGCATCCGTCCGATTTTAACGGATGTGAGGTGAGATTTGCTTCTGGCCCGCAGGACACTGGCGCTACCATTCACATCAGCTGGTGATCAGCATCAGGACATGAATGGAGCTCCTTGCCGACTCACTAGAGATCAATACAGAATGTAAAGATCAGAATGTATTGCAAATAAACGGTAATGAACAAGTACGGAATGAAACTCTGAGATTTGCTTCTTCTTCTTCTTCTTCGTCTTCTTCTTCTTCTTCTTCTTCTTCGTCTTGAAGTTCTTCTGCTTCTTCTTCTTCTTCTTCTTGAAGTTCTTCTTCTTCTTGAAGTTCTTCTTCTTCTTCTTCTTGTGAACGTAACTGAGAATTGTGCATGCGGATTGTACGAGAAAGCTTGAGGCATGCGTGGCTGAAACCAGTGTTGGCCACTGATTGACACTCTTCTTCTTCTTCCTTCCTTCTTCCTTCTTCCTTCTTCCTTCTTCCTTCTTCCTTCTTCCTTCTTCTTCTTCCTTCTTCCTTCTTCTTCTTCCTTCTTCCTTCTTCCTTGTGCATCTTTCTTCTTCTGCTTCTCCCCCTGACGAATGCCAGGCGCGCAACCTGGCGCAAACGTGTCTGCCAGTGGTAATGTGCGCGTTTCATCTGGGAACTGTGCGTGCGGCGAAGTAACGAATATCTATCGAGTGTACAGTGGACATAGACTGAATAAACAGTAGCCCATCATAGAGAAACAGTCTATGGCTGCTGTTTCTTCACTCCTTCTTCTTCTTCTTCTTCTTCTTCTTCTTCTTCTTCTTCTTCTTCTTCTTCTTCTTCTTCTTGCTCGCGTGAGCTTGGCTATGTCTATGTTGGCGTTATGTGTTCGAAGCCGTGTGTAAGGCGTGGTGGATGGTTAGTGAGTGGCCACTGGCACATGCGTGCTGCAAATCTGAAATCTGAAATCTTCTTCTTCGCTGTTGGGAAGAGTTAAAAAGTAGGAAAAAAAGAATATGTTGTATGTTGGGAAAGGAACGCCCACAATAATTAATTACGGTAATAGGAACAAACAAAGACACTGGCACATGCGTGCTGACATCTGTAAGCTGATTCTGAGCCCTTTTTTTTGTTTTGTTTTGTTTTGTTTTTGTTCGTGGAAGCAGACTGACGTTTCTTTTTTATTTTTTATTTTAAAATCTAAACCGGACCCCAGCCTACAAGGAAGGATGATAAGACCACCTCCCCCTTGTAGGCTGGGGCCCGGTTTAGATGTAAGGTATAGCCTGCCTAAGCTGAGTCTATGGTGACGCCAATGCTTACCTCCTCTGTGCAAGTCCGCTCTTCTGACGTCTTTTTTTTTTTTTTTTTTTTTGCTCCCAGCTCATCTTCTTGGGTCATACTTGCACTGGTATGACGCATTGCTGAGTCTTTTCTAAATATGCCCTCCTTCTATGGTGATCTTTTGTCCCCAGTGCTCTTTGTCTGATTGTCTTCTCACGTGTCTTGCCCTGTGTGTGTGTGTGTGTGTGTGTGTGTGTGTGTGTGTGTGTGTGTGTGTGTGTGGGAGACTCTTGTGTGTGTGTGTGTGTGTGTGTGTGTGTGTGTGTGTGTGTGTGTGTGTCTTTAACCCCAAATTCTCTCTCTCATTCCATCCACAAATCGTCAATAACCATAAAACAAGTATAGATAGGCAAGGTAGTAAAAAAAAGATGCGAGACCAACTGGCCTGCGTAGAGCTCAGTTGGTACACCCCCCCTGGACTGAACTTTTTGAAATACAGACCAGGTGCTGAGTTGGAACTCCACTGGAAGCAAAATGAGTTAAAGTACTACAATTCTAAATCACCTAGGGCCGGTCCGTCCAATGAGATTATGAAATCTCAAGGCCGTCACCCTTTAATGGAAGGGGGGGGAAAGCAGAAAAAAGGATGCAAGGTTAACACGTTTTTGTGTGGTTAAGCGCCAAGTGCCCACACACCCATCTGGCGCTGAAGCCGCACACTTGCACAAATTGTATGTGCTCATTAAGGTGGATTATCACTTACAGTGTGCTCAGTTAGGGGACTTTGGAGACTGTAGAGGGTTCAGCCTCCTCCTGATGAGTCAGTCGGTGAAACTCTGACGAAACAGTTAGTCACAGCCCCTCGTCTGTTGGTGTCCTCTTCTCCCTCTTGTCCCTCTCGGCCTACAGTTTACCGGGCGGTGCTATTTGACCCCATATATATATGTGTGTGTGTGTATATATATATATATATATATATGGAGTGCATTTTTTGGCTGTGACAGACCTTTCTTTGTTTCGTGGATGTTTTGCTGGCTTGCGATGGGGTGTGAACCGACAGTCTGTAGAGTTTTCCATCTGGTGTGGGTGAGTGATAGTCTACTT